ACAAGACACCCACTGAAGGAAGAGGTGATGGGACAACCTTGGCCTAGATGGCAGAAACACATCTTCCATGAAGGTTGTCTGTGTAAGCCAAGCTCCAATATCATCTGTAGACTAACACTACACGGGAGGCTTTACCTCCCAAAACGACCCTTGCTTTTTAGACTTCGAAAGCACTCAGGTCTACGTGGCCAGGTAAAGCGGTTACTTGTTTTTAATTTACAGAAATTGCACATTAATTTTTACCAACTCACCTAACACAGTTCTCAGGCTTATTATGACTTCATTTCTCTAAAAGATCTAGAAACCGAATCCCAGCAGCACACCATCACCACCAATGTCTACTGTCCACTCTTGCGACTGTCTCGCTAACACAGTAAAATTTCCCCCAAAGCCAGGTGAAGTATAATAGTGAGAAAACAAGTGACAGCTAGATTATTTGGGGTGCAGGTGTAAATCTGCCAAGGCCAAAGGTGCTGAACTTAGTCCCATCCACAGCACATGATGGTCATTCAGATTTCTGACAGGAGAACCCGTTCCCACTCTTCTCTAGACTCATTCTATCCGTTCTTAAACTGATCTCACAGTCCTCACAAGAACACATGTTCCCTGCTTCTCCCCGTTGGCAGCGCTTTGTACCCAAGAGCTGCAGCAGCGTTGACAGTCCGGTGGCAACCTTTCCTAGCTGCACCCTCACTGACTTGTGTATCTCCAGCAACACTCCCAGAGGGAAGCCCTAACACCAGATGCCTAGTCTTCCTTCCAATCATTCCTCCTTCCTTCCACCAAGCTACCATCTTTGGATCTTGGGACACATTCCACTTTGTTTTTAAAGAGCATCCTTCATTTTTGTAAAGGAAAGAAATGAGTGGGAAACAGTGCTGAAAGCATCCTTCCTGGTTCGGGGTTTTTCTTTTTATTCCTGCCAAGCCATAATGCTTGTTATGGAGGGAACGGGACAGGTCAGATGCCCTTGGGCAAAGGGTTTCCCAAGCCTTTTGGAAATTTATCAGAACTGAGGAATCCCTCCTACACCTCTGTCAACTGCTCTCAAATCCATTCACTTATCTTCACCCAGGTACAAACTATCCCCAAAGAAACCTGCTTTCATATTAATTAGGCTCTGACTCATTTTCTTTTTAATGCCTGAGCTTGGGTCCAGAAGTCCTAAGGAGAGATGATTGGTTTCATTAAAATAGATGAATGGCTCGAAATAGAGTAGTCGAGTACCCAGGAGGAAGAGTCTTACCAAAGTTGGCCAGCTTTCCTCCAACTGGAGTGGAGTCTGGCTGTTTGCTCCTGGAGACCAGGTCCAGCAGTGTGAAGCTAGAGGCTCCTCTCAGTCTGGTTATATAGAGGGCTCATGAGAGGGGGTTGGGGAGAGCATTTCTAAGGACGTACTTTGTCAGAGAGATGTAAACCAACGACAGAAATAGTGGACAAACAAGGAGTCATTCTCTTTTCCTTGGGCATTCCCGGGCCAAATATTGACCACCTAGTGGATCAGATGTTTGCTCAGAGATGATGATGTTTGCTAGGCATGGTCTTCTGTTCCAAAGCTGCCTCTTCCTAATGTGCATGGTCCTTCCCCTTGCTCACAGTAGGACTGAGGTTCCGCTCTTCATATGGCATATGGTAGATGCAAAACCATTATCTCTGATCTTAAGGTCAATCTCAAGAACTTCTCTGGAAGAAGTCTAGAGGACGGAGAGAGGCAGCTGTGCGCCCACCTCTGGAAGCCTCAGAAATACCTTTACAACATTTCCCGGGCTTGACTTCCCTCCATCCCACCCCAGAAAACAAAACCTGCTACCAACCTTCTGTTCTTTAAAGTACAATTAGAAAATCAATAGCCTTCATCTAACCATCACCGAAAGTATGTAAAGAAAGTATTGTGTACCTTTGCTCTGCTTATTAGGAATCACCAAGACTACACAGTAGATAAACCTCAGAGTCAGACTTCTGACACAAAAAGCACATAGGGTGGTAGTATGGAAGTTCACTAGAATTGTTATATATTAATCTTCAGGGCTGGGCAGATGGCTCAGTGGTTATGGACACAAGCTCAATTCTCTGCACCAACATGGCAATTCATAACCATGTATAATGATGCCTTCTTCTGGCTTCCCCAGGCATTGCATATGCCTGGTACACAGACATACATGCAGACAAAATACCCACACACAGGAAGTAAATAATATGTAAAATTGAAAGAATTGTTACACATTTATCTTGTATGGAGGGCAAGGTTGAGATATTTTAGCTTTTTGTCATTTTCTAGATTTTGCTCCATTATTCTGTCTAGATATTTGTGGGTAATATAAGCAGCACTAATTTTTTTTAAATAAATAATTAAATAAAAAGTGAAAAAAAAAACAACCCACCTCCAGGTTGATAATGAGGGGGTAGAGGCAGAGGCGAGGGACAAAGCGCCCTGGCCCACATGAGAACCCTGGTGGGGATGTTGAGTCTGGCACAGGAACTAGGGCATCATTGACTGACTTGCTCTAGCAGGAGGAAGAAGACAGCCTGTCAGCATCTGCAGACTCCCTCAGCAGGGCTGTTCCTCTGTGTAGCAGGAACAGAACTCCCTCAGAAGCTGGGGCAGGACAGATGCAAACAGGCAGCCCTGGGGCGCTGACTTGCAGGCATGTTCACACCTAGACAGGCACACTTGGAGAAGACTGCTCTTACCTAGAGTTCCCACAGTGTGGGGGGGATGGAGCTGGTTTCACTTCAGGTTGGTGGCACTGAGGACACAGGCTGTCAACTCTGCTTTGGGAGTTAATCTCATTGTCTCTCCATTAGGGGGAACCTTTCCAGAGAAGAAGACTTGCTTACTCATGTCTGTATTCTTAGTGATTCACACCTAAGTCCTCATCAACTGACCTAGAGCCATGCAAACTCTCTGGGCTTCTCTTGAAAGGTTCAGAGATGCAAGATTTGTTAGCAGTTATTAAATAAAGCGTGATCGCTAAGGAGAGCAATCTGGCTAGAGGGGTTGGCTGATACTGCCCTGGGGACTGAAGAGGCCATCCGGGTGTTGCAATAGATCCGGGAAAGCTCTGCTCTTCCTGCAAATGCTGCTGAAGTGGCTCACTCATTTGCCTTTGCCAATGAGCTATTGTTCCCGACCACAGTGTAAAACCTCTAGGAGTCTAATCTCTCTTAAAAAAAGAACAAGTGCACCCCTTTAATCCCAGCACTCTACTTTATCTTCCTCATTTCCTAGACACAGGGCATTCAAATCGGTAACACATGGACTTGCTTGGACTCCAGTCTGTCTACACCTTTGAGAGTGGAAATTTCCAGAACAGCAAACAGTCCCTACCGATCCTACTATCTAATGCTCTTACAAACCTCAAACTCCAGCTCTTTGCAGATTTTCCTTTCCTTGTATTACACTCTAGTCACACAGGCCTGGGTAACTAAACTAACCACCCAGTCAGTTCTCACCTGGCTTGCTCTGTTTGCTATACCACGTGTCATTTAGTAAAGAGAATGTGGGTCGTTTCTCAGGGAGGTCCATGTTGCCAAACTATTCGCTCTCAGAGAAAAGGGTAGACAAGGTGGCAGAGGCAGGTGGATCTCTGTGAGTTTCAGGCTAGCATGGTCTACAGAGTGAGATCCAGGACAGGCTCCAAAGCTACACAGAGAAATCCAGTCTCAAGAAAAAAAAAAAGGTGAGTCATGGTGGCCTGTGACCCCAGCAATGGCAAGATGGTTGGTCAAGACAGATGAACAGCTGAAAGCTCACAGGCAATCTACCTAGCTTCCGAAGTCAAGTCCCAAGCCGATAAGTTTCCAGAAATAATGGTTGCCTTACCTTCCTCAGCTAGGTCAACAGTTTCACAATTCTACAGCATTACACAGGGCTCTGCAGCTTAGGTGGCTTCCTAACATGGCTGTGTATCCAAAAGGCCTTTGTAATATTAGCTTCCGAATACAGTACAATCTGTGGACGCATGCCTAGAAAATACTCTTCCCCATTTGATGTAGATTATCACTTCTTTGCTGAACACTGGGTTGACTAGGTGACAGAAAGGCCTGTGGTAGAGCAATTCTGCCCGTGATCCTGAGCCTGAGGACAGGCTTGGCTGCGGCACTTTGCCCTCACACACGTTCTTAGAATTCCCAGAACGGCTTGCTGATGCTCAATAACATATTCTAGGAGAGACGCTTTAAAAGACTATGGCTTGGGTTGGGGAAGTAGGTCTGTGAATACAGCGTTCTCCCAGCATGCTCAAGGTCTTAGGTGCAATTCCCAGCACCACCAAAATGAAGAATTATTTCTTCCTTCCTTCTTGGCTCCCTCCCTCCCTCCCTCCCTCCCT